AAAAAAAAAAAAAAAAAAAAAAAGACAAGATCAGTTCTGGTTTTCTGTCTTACACTACTAACTCAGGCCTCCCCAGGGCAACAGTCTTTGCCTGCTCTCCTGGCCAGTGCACTGCCCCATGGCTCTTCCTTGAGCAGGACAAAAGCACAGTCCAGGGCAATTCTCCTAATTTTCTCATTTTGGGCACTTCTTGCTCTGCTTTCCATCTAACTCACTTCACTCATCTTCTTTAACAACCCTACAAATAAAAGTACAGCTTTGTTTTAAAGAATCACATATGAATATTAAACTTCTTACCAGCATTTTTGAGTGGGATAAAGCTGTTCGTGGTGGAGGAAAAGCATGATCTGCTACTTCCAAATCTGGGTGTAAAATCTAAAGCAAAGAAGTTTTGTTATGCAAAATACCCTAATATCAGTAACATGCAGTCTTTAAAAAACCTGGGGCATTAAGATAAAAAGTATCAGTGCATGAATTATGATAGATTCCCTCATGAAATATAATTCTGTTGGCTGATATAGCTTTGTTTATCTTGTATTGCAGAAAGATCTCCAAAACAAAACATTTAGTAAAAAGACTTGTTCTAGAAAAACATGCATAGTATGGTCTTGCTTAATTGAAACACACACACACACACTGAACCTGAAATCTATATATGCATGAGCACACACATACACACACACGAATATATGCATAAATTAGATAAAAAGTTCAGAGGAAGTACGCGGCAAACTATAGAACAGTAGTCACCTCCAAGAACGGAGTGGTTTGGAGGGGAGAGAACTATTTGTCTACACACTTGAATTAGCTTAGCAGGCATTCTTTTTTAATTTTATGCTTTTTCAGTTTTGCTACAGGACCCATGAGCTCTCTGGAGAGACACATAGAGAAAAGGAAAGTGAGAAATCACCCCTTAGGGGGATGGCCACACCACAATCCCTTCACCTCCAGCCTTCTCTCAGATTTTGGGTATGTACACATATGCAGCAGATGTGTTTTTCAAGCTGCTGGATCCAGGACTTGAACCATGCCGTTGGCCATGTGGGATCCAGCCATCTTAACCACTACACCACCTGGCTAGCCCGAACAGGTATCTGTTTTTCTATATTATATTCTATAATTAAAAATTAACTAATTAGGGACCAGCAGTTAGCGTAATGGCTATGTCGCTGGACTCCCATGTAGTCGACCGCGGTTCGAGTCCTGGACCCGGTGGCTTAAACTCACGCCGGGCGCGTGTATGTGCATGCCCAAGATCCCGAGAGGAGAATGGAGGAGAAGGGATTGTGGCGTGGCCATCCTCCCTGGGGGGTGATTTCTCGCTTTCTATCTCTCTGTCTCTCTCTGTCTGTCTGGCGAGCGCATGTGCCCTATAGCAAAAACCTCTCCCAAAAAAAAGAAAAAAAAATTAACTAATTAACTGAAATACTGAGGAAAAAGGGAGCAAACTTTGAACTTTGTACTTCAGAGAGTAAAAAGCATAATACAATGTAACAAGTGCTATAAATACATAAAATGTAATATGTAAAACATAAAGTATAATAGATTTAACCTAGGTATTAAGGTTTGGAAAATGGTTTGTCCTCCAAAGGTTCATATTTTGAAATTTGGTCACCAATGCAATGGCATTGGGAGATGGAGAGGCCTAGTGGGCAGTGACTGAATTTTGGAGGGATTGGTCTCATGAATAGTTTTATGCCATCTCCCAAGAGACCAAGTGAGTTCTAGCTCTCATGAGAAGGGGTTAATTTTTGCAAAAGGTGGTTGTTATAAAGGAAAATGGCTGGCTCCAGGTTGATTTCTCTACATGTACCTGCTCTCCTCTCTGCTTCTGTCAGCTGTGTTGTGATATAGGCTGTTCTAATACCAGTCCTACACCTTTGGATTCTCCAGCTACTATAATTGTGAGTCAAATAAATCTCTATTTCTTTGTAAATCACCCAGTCTTCAGTATACTCAGTTTTACCAAAAGTAGATTCCACACATTGATCAACGTCGATGGCACAGATTTCACAGGTTACAGTATACCAGTATACAGCAGAATACCTGTCAGGAGCCACTGACTTAAGAACTAAAATCTTCATCTTTGTTAATTTTGGTACTTAATCTTTCAATAATAATTAGAATTAGCATATTTCATTTTATTTATTTATTAATTTTAATTTGACCAGAGAAAGACAGAGCGAGAGTGAGAGAGAAAGAGAGAGAGAAAGTGAGAAAGCAAACCTCTGGGTACAGGACTTGAACAATGGTCAGCCATGTGGAAGTCCAGTGCCCTTAACCACCACACCACCTACCAGTCCCACCTTCAATAATTATTAATAATGCTGGTAAATGGTCACATGAAAGACTTAATAATTACAAGATTTCTAAAAACATTACATTTTCTTCAATCACTCCAATACTACCTTTCTAACTTTTGCTATATCCATATATCATCTATGCAATCATAGTTCATATTTTTTGTCTTTAAATCTATTCACCTTTTTAAACGGAATGTTTTCTTAGATGATATCATTTATAAAATAACAAGATTTTATATTTTAAATATAAATTATAATACATAATTTTCTAAATATAATAGGATGACCACGTATCACCCCAAATCATCTCAGTTTTATAAAACATTCATCCTATCGATAAAGACCAGGAAACAGGCCTAGAAATGGGAAGTGATTTGCTCAATATCACCAAGTGGTAGAAGGCAGATCAGAATACAGGTCTTCTGTGTCCTATACTAGTGTCCTTTCTACTCTATCACATCTTGTATTTTAGATTACAAATTATATTTTTTAAAAAACGGTCTTCTCTAAATGTTCCCATTTCATCAATAGCACTGTAACAATGTAAGTACTAGTATAAATTAAGAAATTTTCTGAGAATAAAATCCCTCCTGGTAATCTCAGCCTTTCAAGTTTCTATGTAAAAGAGGGTAAAATTCTGGTTTTAAACAGTCCAGGCTATATATTATTAAAGAAGAATCCAAAGACCTTAGTTATGTCTTTTAAAAATGCACAAGGTAGAATTTTCTTTTTTTTTTTTTAAGAGAGATTTTTGTTATAGGGCGGGTACACTCACCAGAGAGAGTGAGAGTGAGAGAGAGAGACAGAAAGCAAGAAATCACCCCCCAGGGGATGGCACCTCAATCCTTTCTCCTCCATTATCCTCTTGGGATTTTGGGCACACATGCATACGCACCTAGCTTGAGTTTTAAGCTGCTGGGTCCATGGTCAACTACATTGCAGTCCAGCGATGTAACCATTACACCAACTGCTGGTCCCTAAGGTTCAATTTTCTGATGATGGATTAATGAGCACCTAAAACGCTATCAGTGTAATAAAATACTGCTTTTTTAAAAAAATTCAACTAAGGTAAAATAACTACAAAAAATATTAAACTTGTTTCAACTGAGAAAAACCCAGGCTATGAGATTTTTTAAAACTTTACTGCATATGGGCCAGCAGGTACTGTGGTGATTAGGGTGCTGGACTCCCACATGGCCGACGATGGCTCAAGTCCCTGATCTGGCGACTTGCTTTCTCACTTTCCCTTTCTCTCTCTGGTCAAATAAATAAATAATAATAATAATAATAACAACAACAAATAAAATAAAATAAATAATTCCTAAAAAAAAAAAAAACTTTACTTCATAGAATGTTAATATCTGATTAAGTCACATCTTTCTGCAGTAACCTGAAACAATTGGCAAATTTTACAGGCAGCACTTCTACCAAAGAGGCATGAGATGCCAGTAAGGAGGTTAGGAGACAGAAGCTAACTATTGCTGGGTGGTAATATTAGGTGAATCAGAGGTTTTCTAGGCAGAGTCTTGCTTTGTTTTTACAGGTGTAGTTACAATACCTCACACTGTCTGGTACATAGTAGCTACTAAATAAATATGCTAAATGAAGAAGGAAATGTAGAACAAACATACAGTTAGAATTTAAAGTATATTCTTTAGATTACTTAGCAAATGAAGAATTCTATTCTAACTAATACATGAGAACATATTCATGTTTCAAACATATAACTCTTTTATAAGTAATTACACAATTATTTTTAATGTCATCTATTTTATTTTCAGATATAAATCAAGAAAAATATTACTACTAAAACAAAACAAAACATGTCATACCAAAGAAAGAGCTGCTTGAGTTTGATGTAGAAGTGGTTCCGGGAGGGAAGAGAGGTGAATACATTCAGGAATTTTAATAGTACCTCCATCCAAATCTGCTATGATTACATCTAACTGAAAGAGATTTAAAAAAATTAACCTATAGTTAATAATATGTATATATATGTGTGTGTGTGTATGTATATATATATATATATTTTTTTTTTTTTAAGAGAGAGAAATTTTTGCTAGGTAAGTCATGTGTACTTGTCGAAAAGACAGAAAGAGAGACAGAAAGTGAGAAAACACCTCCCAAGAGGGATGGCCATGTTGTAGTCCCTTCTCCATTCGCCTCTTGGGATTTGGGGCACACATGCACACATGCCTAGCATGAGTTTTAAACCACCAGTTCTGGGACTCAAACTATGGTTGACTATGTGGGAGTCCAGCTACATAACCGCTACACAATCTGCTGGTCCCAAAATATATATGTTGCTAAGATAATTAATTTGGCCTTGGCTAATTCAAAATGGGAAGACCCAGGTGTGGAAGAGACTCTTGGATGTCTAGAGTAACAGTATTCTGGGTTCATGGCTCTCCAACTACCCTTTATTTTCCAGTTTTATTTGAAATTAGGAAAATATGACTAAGTTTCTGCCAATGGAACATGAGAAGTGATGTGTGCATTCTCGAGGCTTTAAGAAAGGGGTATGTTCTCCTACGATCTCTTTTCTCTTCCAATAGGCTGAAACTGTGAACTAGCAGCAACCTTGCCTCCAGCACTCAGATGATGAGAATGCCTGAAGGGATTCTGGAGGAGAAAGAAGGTAAGTGTGGATGTTGAATGACTTTATGGAGCAAACTGGTCTGGTATAAGGAACATCTCTATGGACTTCTACATGAGTGTGAGATAAAATTTCATTTTGTTTGAGCCACGGATTGTTGGATACACTGTTACAATAGTTTAGTCATATCCTAAATGAATTAGTTTTTATAACAAGATTAATAAGCAAAAGCAATTAGCATATATTAAAAGGGTATTATATGGATTTTAGAGGAAAATTGGATTTTTAGCTTTTATAAGAGACTATTTAAAAATAATTCACCTAAAACTGTAAGACGAGTTAGCCAAGATTAGTGAAGTTGTTACACTGACAACATGATTATAATTCATTCTGATTTATTCATTAAAAATGTAAGAAATTTACATTTGGCAATACTTGGCTTATACTACTTCCAGTGGCTGTTTATATTTAGTGGTAATAAAATGATCTATAAACCAAATGGGTATGCTTCTAATGAGCACTAATTAGAATTTGCTCAATATGGGGCCAGCAGGTGGCATGGTAGTTAAGGTGTTGGACTCCCACATGGTTGACCATGGTTTGAGTCCTGAACCTGGTGGCTTGTTTTCTCATTTCTCTTTCTTTTTCTCTGATCAAATTAAAAATTAATAATAATAAATAATTACTTTTTAAAAAGAATTTGCTGAGTATTTTTATTTATTTATTTTCTGAGGGGAAGAGATTTTTGCTATAGGGCACTGTTCACCAGAGAGACAGGAAGTGAGAAATCACTTTCCATACGGGATGGCCATGCCACAATCCCTTTTCATCCAGTCACCACTCAGGATTTTAGGTACACATGCACATGTGCCCAGTGTAAGGTTTTTAAGCCACCAGGTCTGGGACTCAAACCATGGCTGACGATGTGGGAGTCCAGCAAGATAACCATTATGCCATCTGCTGGGCCCATGAATATTTTTTATTGATTTACACATATTTGTATATTGTGAGATGAAAGTTAAGTAGGGATTAGATATCAACATATAGAGTTAGAAAGAATGATGTATGAATGAAGGTCCTGTTTATAATTATAATGTTTAATAATCTTTTATTTACACCTCTGATTTTATTACAACTGTAATTATTGTGTAAGTACCAACTGGGCTTACTTTCTTTGCTGACATTTAAAACTAAAACAGAAGTAGGAATATAAAGTCTTAAGAATCTGCAGATCACAGATGTCATGTAAACTAACGTATCAGAAAAGAATTTTTCTTACACTTCCTGAAGAATGTCATGCAATCTATTCCTTACCTCTACTTATATGGCATAGTTTTACTGGGCAGCTCGAATAGCTGGAAATGCTTACATTGAATAAAAATCAGTTTTTATATCCTGTTCCCACTGACTCTATTTCAGCCTTTAAAAGCTGCAAAAATTGACCTTTACCCTTCTTTTCTATGTCAGTCACTTTTATATTTACTTTTAGCCATCAAATGTATTAAATTATTACCTGAGAAAATTTCCTTAGGGTCTTATAGAATATAGTTTCTTAACTCTTGACAATCCTGGATGTCCTTCTCTGCACCACTTTATTTTGTTTCAGTTCCTCTTAAACAGATATATACAAAACTAAACTCGTTATTCCAGAACTAGTTTGAATGTTGAGTACTATATTTCCTCCTCTGGTATGTATATTCATATGTCATTAAGAATGAAAAATTTGATGAGGGGCTTATCCCAAACTTGTGTCCACTAAACCCTTCGCTTTTCTGCAAATGCTTTTTGCTCTCTTAGTTATCAACCATTCAATATTAAAGGAGGCCTCACTTCAAAATATGAATAAATTAAGCATTAATAATAGAAGTAGAAATATAATATTGTTTTTTGTTTTTGCCACAGGGCAAGTACACTTGCTGGAGAAAGAGACAGAGAGAAAGAGGAAGAGAGAAGGAATGTAAGAAATCACCCCTCTCAGTGGTATGGCCACACCCCAATTCCTTTACTTCCATTCTCTTCTCTGGATTTTGGGCCTGCATGCTCACACACCTGGTGTGATTTTCAAGCCTCCGCATCTGAGACTCAAACTGTGGAACTGGCCATGTGCAATCTAGTGCCTTTACCCCCATGCTACTTTCTGGCCTTTAATTTAGACTTCTAAGTCTTGCTTTCTTATAGATAGGATGTGGAATACAAAAAGATAAACTTAATATGTCAAAAGAGGGGTATTTAAAAATATTACTGAATTCCTTTTTAAAATCTCCTATACCTACTATAAGATAAAATTAATATATTTATACTTTTCACTGATGTTTTTCTTCTAGCAAATTTTTTCTATTAAAAATGCAACAGATCTGGAAGTAGCAGTTAGTTGAAATGTTACAGGACTCAAAGAAATATCAACTTCTGAACTCAATAACTGGAAATTTTAAAGATGAGTACTTACAAGTTCATGGATATCAGTTTTAAAGATAGAATGCACTCCAATAATGAAAGGTGTTGGGGAACTTAGAACTTCCAGTAGCTGAGCCGGGAGAATGGGAATGTAAGGATAACTGAAAATAATAAAAATAGGTGTCACACATACTTGCTTTGTCTACAATATAGACATATTTTCTCTCTTTTTCTTTTTAATGCTTCATGAATTTTAGATTTCTATGTTTAGAAATTATCAATATACTGACATTCTTACTAAAATTATAAAAGAAACAATTTAAAAATTCTTCAAGTGAAAGACATGATCAGACATAAGACGACAAAGTGAATGGGATCCAGGACAGCTTCCTTATCCCGTGTTCCCTATAGGCACGCACTCTCTTTAAGACTCTGAATATTGTTTGGAAATGTTCTTCTTTATATAGAAGCCTGACAATAGACAGTAACACTGACTCACCAACTCTCATGAGCTTCCCATCTCAATAATAGGTGATGATTTATGTATCTATTGATAAAACAATCATTAAATTCTATTTTCTATTCTTGATATTTACATTCAATAAGAATGGCCAAGAACATTTAGGTTGAGAACACTATCTTATCTAAAAGGTTAAGGGAAAGCATACTTATTTCTATAAAAGGTTTTTGTGTGTGTGTGTGTGTGTGTGATATTTTTGCAATAATGCATGTGTGCTCAGTGGAGAGAGACAGAAAGAGAGGGAAAGTAAGATATCACCCCCCAGAGGGAGGGTCACACAGCAATCCTTTCTCTTTCATTATCCTCTCAGGATTTTGGGCACACATACACTTGCATCCAGTGGTTTTTCAAGCCACCAGGTGTGGCTAGGACTTTAATCGTGGGGTCAGTTATGTGAGATCCAGTACCTTAACTACCACACCACTTGCTGGCCCTTAAAAAAGCTTTTTAAAAAGAATTCTAATGTTTAATCTATTTTGTATGAATTTAAAACTTAAGTTTCCCAGATATTATCATTACTGAATTGATTACACAGTATAGTAAAATATTCTATCTATAGCACTATCAGACACCATTGATTCGATTTTTTAAAACTTTTATTTTGAAAAAATTTTAACACACACCCTTAACAAAGAAAGAGAAGGGAAAAAAATTATGTTGAAGTTCATGTATCCAATCAAGCTTGACAGCTACCAGTGCATGGCCACATATTTATATTTCTACCTACTTTTATTCTCTTCTTTAATATTATTTGAAAGCAAACCTAAGACATCATATCATTTATACAGAAATACTTTATTAGGTCTAAAAGATAAGGGGCTCTTTTTATTAATAGAAACCTAACCCTACTATAACCCCTAAAAATTAAGAATAATCTTTTAATATCAAATAGTCAGCACTGACTAAAGACTTTTATCAGCAACTATATTCAGAGAATGAAATGTTGTTGACAATGCAATTTAAATTAAATAGTTTTTCACTAAGTTAATCAATATTCAGCAAAGAAAACTAGAAAAAGTCCCAAATTATAGGCTAGATTTTATCAGAATCATGACTTTCATAATGGCATAACCTTTTTAAATATGCCTGTGTGGTTCAAAACCATCATATCATGACGTTTTTATCAATCATCATTAAGTAATGCCTAATTTAGAAATAAATAAAATTAACAAGCAAAAAAACCTCACCTATATTTAAGCGGAAACATTAAAGATTCCAGGGCCCTACAGGCATCACTAAGTCTCTGGAAACTTGCAGAATGGAAGAGAACCTTATTTTCTGTGAGGACCGCACAAAAGAGGCTGAGGACATTCTGAATTCCTGAAAATACAAGAGCAAAGGCTTATCAAACACAATTCATTTTATATGGGCTGCTAACACTCACAGGCACAGAATGATGTAGAAAGAAAAAGTAATTTTTAAAAAATCCCTGAAGGAAAAATACTTGATTAAACTATAAATTCCATATAACCTATATATATCTGTTTTTCCAAATGTAGTCTTTATTCTTCAAATTAGTGTTACACTCTTTGGAACATATTAGTTGTCTGGAAATGCACTATTATCTTTTCAACTTCATCTCCAAAATCAATACTTAAATTACTGTTTTAGACGCTGACACTGTTCCAATAACTTTCTTCCCTGCTAAAGTCTATTTGTTGGATGTTACTATAGCTGTACCAATTTTGTTAAAATTTTCCTAGCATATGTTTTTTCATTGTTTAACTTCATTGTTTCACTACTTTTTATAAACAGAAGATAGCTTTTATATGTGTGTATATATATATATATAATATATATATCATATATATTGTATATGTATGTGTGTAGATATCTATCTATCTATATTATATATAATAAAAATTAGTTATCTCTTGTCTTTTTTATTATATATGTATTATATATTCTTCTTGTCTTTTTTTATATGTGTATATATATATATTGGCTATATATATATATACATGTATACATACATATATATATACCAGCTATCTGCTGTTCACAAAAAGTAGCAAAACAATGAAGTTAAATGATGAAAAACATATATAGTCATAGTGTGTATGTGTGTGTGTTAAAGGGTATGTGCACCCTCCAGAGAGACAAAACACCTCCAATGGGCTATGGTCACATTGCAACATAATCATACTGACTTATTTTTCAGTCCAGTTTGATAATCTTTGTCTTTTAACTCAATAATTTAATCAACTTACATTTATTATAATTAGTGACATTATATAATATGTGTGTGTGTGTAGTATTTTATAATTTTTAGTTAGTTAGTTATCTCTTGTCTTTATTTCTTTTATCCTCTCTCCTAGTATGGAAACTATAAGTTCTGATTCTAATTTTTTTGGTGTAATTGTAGAAAATACTTATTACAGTTATTATAAGTACTTATTAAAGTTAATAAATAAGTTATTAAAGTTAAAATAAGTACATTGTTTCTTATTTTCTTACTTTTATTACCGGCTCAAATCACCTTTTGTTATCTCATTTCAACCTTAATCACATAGACCCACTAAATCAAGAGTCTCCATTTGTTTTCCAAAGGTAAAATACTTTCTATATATCCCTACCATAGCTTACCTTCATGTAACATGTGCAACTTTCCTGTTGGTCCATTATTTATTGCTATTTGCTTTCACCATTTCCAAATTATCCATATGCCACATCAGAACCTATAGTTCAGATTTTCAATCTCTCATTTGAGCTAATACAATGGTTTCACAACGGTTTTTCTTAATCCAGTCTCCATTCCCTTCAACTCTATCATCCAAACAGTATAAATCTAATATCACTTTCATTTCTCCAATCTTTCAGTATCTTCCCATCCTACTAAGTAGTGATTTTCAAAAGTATTCTGTTCCACAGAAGCAATTTAGCGCAAGAAACGGCTTCAACTTGTTTTATATATGAATATCCCTTAGCTTCAGTTAGTAAAATGAAACAAAAATAAAAACCTATTCTACAGGGTAGCTACGTAGAAAAAAAATTAGATAATACATGGAGTTCTTGGCATAGTACCATGATAGTCAATGTATATTATACTAGCTGATATTCTAACTGTAGTTGTTGGGGCTGTTAATGTTAACTTTTTTTGTAGTTAGGATTTTGATGCTAAAAATATTTGAAAACTTGTAATCTACAAAATTAAGTCTGAATTCTATACGAAAATGCCCCTCTGGTGTCATCCCCATCTTTCCACCTCCACTACCATCTCCTACCATTGTTGATCAATACTGAACTTGTCTAGCTCTCAGAACACTTTTCTCACTTTAATAGCACTGCTTCTTTGCTCATGTTCTCCCTGCCTGATTCTCCTTCATTACCATGTGAGTACTTCAATAACTACTCTGGGCCTTATATATTCTAGTAGTCCTTCTGCCTGACACAGTACCTGGTACACAACTGGCACTCAAGAATATTTTCCTGAACTGACACACTCTCTGAACGGTGATGTCAGTCACAATGAAAAGGTATCAGATTCCAAATAGAAGTGAGATCATACAACATTTGTCTTTCTATGCCTGGCTTATTTCATGTAACAAAATGTCCCCAAGGTTCATCTATGTCATGACAAATGACAGGATGTCATTCTTTATTATGGCTGAGGTAGAGGTAGAGGGTGGGAGATGGGAAACTGTTGATCAAGGGTACAAAGTTTCAGTTAGGAGTAGTAAGTTTTTGTGATCTATTGCACAGCAGGGTGACTATAGTCAATAATAATATATTGCATATTTCAAAATAGCTATGCCTAAGTTTCGAAAATTTCACCATGAAAAATGATAAGTAAATGAGGTGATGGATAATTAGCTTGATTTAACTATTTCGCATTGTATGAACATAATATATTAAAACATTACATCGTGGGGACCAGCAGTTGGTTTAGTGGCTATATCACTAGACTGCCATTGTAGTTCACTGCGGTTCAAGTCCCCAGGCCCAGAGGTTTAAACTCACGCCAGGTGAGTGTGCATGTGTGCCCAAGATCCCGAGAGGAGAATGGAGGAAAAAGGATTGCAGCATGGACATCCTCCCAAGGGGTGGATTTCTCGCTTTCTATCTCTCTGTCTCTCTCTGTCTTTCTGGTGAGCGTACATGTCCTATAGCAAAAATCTCTACAAAATAAGATAAATAAAATAAAACATTATATCGTGTCCAACAAATGCATACAATTATGATTTCTTGATTAAATATAACATTAATTTACGGCCTGCCTTATAGTGCAGTGGTTAAGTGCTATACATTAGGATCCCATGTGACAAATGTAGTTTAATTCCCAACCCCAGTGACTTGAAAAACATGCCAGGCACAAGTGTGAACATGTCCAAAATCCTGAGCAGATAGAGAAATGGAAGAAAAAGGACTGTAGCATGACCATGTCCCATTGGAAGGTGCTTTCTCTCTTTCTCTTTCTCTTGTGCATGCACTTTGGAAATAAAAATAAATAAATAAATAAATAATTTTTAAAAACCTATTTAAATAAATATCTTTATAAATTCAGAGAAAGAATGTATAAAATGCACAATTATAAATGAAAAGTCAATAAATTCAATTATTTAAAATTAAACATTTGTATCAAAAGATAACATAAAAAACATGAAGACGAGTCTCAGACTAAGAAATTACCTAGGAAATATATAAATGGAAAAGGATATGAGTTCAAAATATGATTCTTTAAATCCCTACTAAAATAAGTAAAAAGAAACAATAATAGAATAATATGAACTTAATTTACAGAACTGGAAACCAATATGGTTGGCAAACCTGAATTTCCTTTTTCCTAAGAGTTTTATGATTTTTAGTCTTATTTTTCAGGTCATTAATTAATTTGGGCTTACATTTTTATAGTTTATGGTAAGGATCCTGATTTATCCTTAACAATATTTTCTTTTAATCCATAAACACAGGCTTTCTTTAATTTCTTTAAGCAATGTTTTGCAGTCTCCAATGTACAAGCCTTTCACATCCTTGGTTAAATCTGTTCCTAGGTATTTTCCTTGTCTAAATATATTGTAAATGAAGTTGTTATTTTTAATTTCAGATTGCTCATTACTGATATATCTTCTCTTAAAAATATTCTTAAAAATTGTGGGACCATCAGATGGTATAATGGTTACATCACTGGACTCCCATGTAGTCGACTGTGGTTGAGTACAGGACCTGGTGGCTTTAAACTCATGCTAGGTGCATGTGTGTGCATGCCCAAGATCCTAAGAGGAGAATGGAAAAGGTATTGCTGCATGGCCATCATCCCTGGGGGGAAGAGGGAATGATTTCTCACTCTCTGTCTCTGTCTCTCCAGTAAATCGTTCACTCTATAGTGAAAATCTCTTTTAAAAAAAAAAAAAAAGGTAAAACAATCCTTAGTTCATAGGCTGTACAAGAGCAGGACATGACCTAGCTTGACCAGTAAGGCATTATTTGCTGACCAGCAGCTGAATTTTTTTTTTATAGGCAACATATAGTTGTATCTTCCTTCTTAAATCCAGTTTGACAATCCCTGTCTTTTTATTAGTATTCGGTGCATTCACATTTAATGTAATTATTGATATGGCAGATTTATGCCAGCAATTTTGTTATTTACTATTAAGTCATTTTGTTTATAGTGTTATTTTGCTATTCCTTTACTGCCCTTTTTTGTGTTAAATTAAGTTTTTTTTTCTTTTAGTTTGTCATTTTTTTTTCCTCTTTTATTTTAATTCCAGAGAATGTGTGTGCTTGCTTGAGAGAAGCGGGGGTGGGGAGATAGTGTATGAGAAAGTACTCCTTAATGGGGCACGATCATGCCACAATCCCTTCTACTCCATTTCTCCATCATGTTGGGATTAGGGACATGCATGCTCATGTGCCTGCTGTTTGGGATTCAAGCCATGGTTGGCTATGTGGGATATATCTCCCTTAACCACAATGTCAGAGGGTTGGCCCCAAAACATCTGAAACAATACAAAATCTACTTCGAGTTAATCATGCTGTTCTGGTTTGTACCACGGTTTGTTCCCACAAGTTTCATGTTTCAGAATTTTATGTTAGCAGGTGATGAGGCCTCATGGGAGGTGACTGGTTTAAAACTGCATCAGGAAGGCAACAGTCTCATGAATGGATTAATAATGTCTTTTGAGACCCAGTGAGTTCTAGATCTCATGATAAAGGTTAGTTCTTGTGAGATCTGCTTATTAAAAAAGGGAGGGTGCAGGCTGCTTGCTCTCTTCATGTACCCACTATCCTCTGTGCTTCCATTAACCACACTGTAGACCTAGGCTTTTACACTTTCTAGCCACCAAAACTGTTAGTTTATAAATAAATCTCTGTCTTCTTTA